GGAAGGATTGAATACGGCCCCAGGTGTTTCCTGTGCGGGAACATTGGACGGGTGCGGTAGGTGTTGTAGCATTATAGCGGAGCATACGCACCACCAGCATACACACCTTGCCACAACGCTTCAAGTCGATGCTAATGACAGCGCAAAAAACTGAGAGGAAAAAAGCTTTATCTGTCATGAAATGTGAATTTCACCTTGGGAATAGATTGCACTAATTCAGATTATCATGCAATCTGAAGAAATTTCTGAAGGCTGTGCGTGCTTGAAAAATTATAATATATCAAGAAATAAATATGTGTATGCTACAACTATTGCTACATGTTGATATGACTCGATAATTACAAATCTTCAGCAAACGTACGCATTGCAGAAAGACGGCAGCTGACATTCACAAAATGTGGCAAAGAGAGAAATAAAACCGATCGGAATTCAACGGGAAACGATATAGTGCAACATGTAGGATCAAATAAAAATACAAGAAGCATAATATACAATAACGTTGCAGAAACCCGATCAATATTCGAGACAAAGCACATTGTTAGTAGTCACAGATTCTTCACTGCAAAGCAGCCACATCAAGACGAGAAGAAAAAAAATCAAGCAAAAGTTATGAATATTACGTGTAATGGCAACGTTCAACAGTTAAGAAAGAACAGCAGTTTTCAGAAATATCGTGAAGAAAGTAGTTGAGTCTCAAACCTTCGCTTTAGGCATCCAGCAAATCATCAGCCAAATCAGTGAGGGGATCTTCCGTCTCTTCGAGAACCTCAAAACCATCGTCGATAACGTAGTTGGGAGCGCACATGTCGTCAAATTCTAAAGACCATAGCATAATCTAGGTTTGATTTCTTATTGTTAAATACTGCTAGATTGGTGTATAAATGACCAAAGTTTTTCGAATGATCTTCATTGAAAACGTCTCGTAATTTAGCGGGTGAATCAATGTCATTCGCGAGTAGTGTATTCAATTTTCATCAGGGTTGTGCCATTTTTGCGGCTTGAAATTGCGCGACAAGGGTTTCGATAATGAGGGAGCAGTTATAGTACCCAATCGCCCGATCCAACCGAGTGTGGTGTAGATACCCATTGACCGTGCGATTCAAAATCGGATAAATCGGACGACTGAACTATCTATGTACCCCCACAGTCGATTGTGCGATTGGTTGATTACAAACTATGACTGCGGTCGTATACTTTCTCGCCTATTATTTTTTTTCCTGTTGCTCACTCTTTCGTCGTTATCGGCAAGCCCGCCTTACAAGCAAAAAAAAACTCTCGATTTCCAAGTTTTCGGCCACCTCCATTCCTTTTTCTTCATTAGCAATCCTCATCACTTCTTGACGCTCATTTTTGTGCGAAATAACCTCATCATGCTATCGCGCAGTGTGCCTCTGGGGAAACAAAACGTCAACGACATACTTGAAGGCACGCTACGAGATTGGGCACGCTCACCTGTTCATTCACCGATCCTGGTAGACAGACGGACAAGTGTTGATGTCGCCCCCACTTTGCGGCTCGAAAACGCGCGACGAGGGCGCTAGACCAGCAGTTCACACTTTTTCCGCAAGCTCCGCCTTCAGCAGTCGGTTACCACGTGACGCTGCGAAAAGAGCGCGCTGCAGTTGCTGCAGCTTTAAAATTGCGGCTCAATGCCACTGATATTATAGCAACTGGAGCTAGTCCTTCGCGAAACTCGTTCAGTACCCCCTCCTCTACCTCAAGGTGGAATGCGGCCGAAAGGGGGCTTTAATCGGAGCGTGAAAGAAAGTTCTTTTGTTTTCTGTTTTCCAGACCAGTCCCCACCTCCAGCTTCATTATTGAGGGCTCCTACACAACTATTTTATCCCGGCGCTTGCCTTTAATAAGTCTCTTCAAAGAACAGATCGTCCACTTCCCATGTGTTTCTAATGTAAACTATTGCTTAGCAAGAAATGATTGAATCTTCAGATGATTGCTAGCCTTTACTCGGGCTGTTCACTCGAAATGTCAATATCACCTGCCAGCCATATCCCCTTCAAAGGTTGAAGCGGTAGTTCATACGGACTCCCACAAGAGAATGTAAGGGATGGGAGACCATCCCTATGGCTGATTTGGGATGAAGGAAATTCTCACAAAAAAGGTAAAAGTAAACAAAAAATACGCAAAGAGAAGGAAAAATCTATAATCAAATCGAACACGTGGATCACACATCACCTTTCATTTCAATTTTTGCTTTCACGCCTGTGTAAGGTTCGAAAGGTGGCCAGTATTTTGGACGAGTTTCGAGTTGTTCAAAAAGCGGTGGTTGTGAAGCAGGAAACACTTTCTGGAATTGGAAATGAAACTTATGAGAAAGTCGTCAATGTTCAGACTAGCTCAATGAAAGTCAGTTATCCTATCAAAGACGTTAACTTACTTCTTTGAGATCGATAGTGAGCTTTTTGAAAGCTTCGGCCGATTCACAAAAGAACGCTATCGCCATTGATGGGTCGATCTTAATAGATAAAATATTTTCATGCTATTGCAGGAATGTCGAGCTTGACAGATTGGTCCCACCTGATCATAACCCATGTGGAGGAGCATTTTACAGTGGAATGATGTGTCATCAAAACTTTCGTCATTCAAGCTTTTCAACGATACAGAAGCGGGAACGTCTTCGGTCTAAAAGATACCGTAGAAACGGCAATGCTGAGTGAGTGGAAAGAGGGCTAATTACTCCTCTCTGCTCTCTACCAAATAGATAATGAGAAAATAGACAAACATTTACCACATCAAGAGCATCAAATCCATCCTCGAATCTTGTGTTCCCATATTTTTCAAGAACCGACGGCCGACAATAGTGTGGATCAAGGTAAACGAGCTAAAACAAGAAAATTTAGCGATTTTTAAACGATAAGTGACACTATGAGCGAGTCAAAAAAGTGCAGATCTTACTTTGTCGCCAGCTATACCGATGAAGTAAAGTGCGTGATTCGGCCTGCCTCCAATAATACCAACACATGAGTCGAGTTTGAAGTAATTCTACAAGTTACTGGATAGAAGCGCTTATGACAAGCTTTTCATAGTGTGCACAATGAACCTCAATAGCAGGCAGGTAGCAACGATTAATGCTGGTTAGTCCCAGTCGCAAAGGAACAAGTATCAAAAGTGGTCGCCAATCGCATTTCTGGTCATCCGACACAGAGGACTCGTTGACTAGGGTTAAATATGATTCGTCCACATTCCGATCGTCTTCTAAATAGCGAATACACGATGAGTAACCTTTATTGCCACGCACTTACAGTCGTTTCGTTACATGTGGTTGTGGAACCAGATGAAACACATTATAACAATAAATCTTTTACTCCACTATTACTGCCCT